TTTTTTCAGTGTACTGTATCTATTCAGTGTGCTGTATTTATTCATTGTGCTGTATTTATTCAGTGTGCTGTATTTATTCATTGTGCTGTATTTATTCATTGTGCTGTATCTATTCAGTGTGCTGTATCTATTCAGTGTGCTGTATCTATTCAGTGTGCTGTATTTATTCAGTGTGCTGTCATTTTTCAGTTTGTGCTGTATTTATTCAGTGTGCTGTATTTATTCATTGTGCTGTATTTATTCAGTGTACTGTATTCAGAGTGCTGTATTTTTTCAGTGTACTGTATATATTCAGTGTACTGTATTTAGTGTACTGTATTCAGTGTACTGTATTCAGTGTGCTGTATTCAGTGTGCTGTATTCAGTGTACTGTATATATTCAGTGTGCTGTATTCAGTGTGCTGTATTCAGTGTGCTGTATTCAGTGTACTGTATATATTCAGTGTGCTGTATTCAGTGTTCTGTATTCAGTGTACTGTTTATATTCAGTCATGTGCTGTATTCAAGTGTGCTGTATTCAGTGTGCTGTTTTCAGTGTAACGTATATATTCACGTGATGCTGTATTCAGTGTGCTGTATTCAGTGTGCTGTATTCAGTGTGCTGTATTCAGTGTACTGTATTCAGTGTGCTGTATTCAGTGTGCTGTATTCAGTGTGCTGTATTCAGTGTGCTGTATTCAGTGTACTGTATATATTCAGTGTACTGTATATATTCAGTGTACTGTATTCAGTGTGCTGTATTCAGTGTACTGTATATATTCAGTGTACTGTATTCAGTGTACTGTATTCAGTGTACTGTATATATTCAGTGTACTGTATTCAGTGTACTGTATATATTCAGTGTACTGTATTTAGTGTACTGTATTCAGTGTACTGTATTCAGTGTGCTGTATTCAGTGTACTGTATTCAGTGTACTGTATATATTCAGTGTACTGTATTCAGTGTACTGTATTCAGTGTGCTGTATTCAGTGTGCTGTATTCAGTGTACTGTATATATTCAGTGTACTGGATATTCAGTGTACTGTATATATCAGTGTACTGTATTCAGTGTAATTATTCAGTTGTACTGTATATATTTCGTGTAAAGTATCAGTGTACTGTATATATTCAGTGTACGTATTTAGTGTAACTGTATTCAGTGGTGCTTGTATTCAGTGTGCTGTATTCAGTGTACTGTATATATTCAGTGTACTGTATTCAGTGTACTGTATTCAGTGTACTGTATTCAGTGTACTGTATATATTCAGTGTACTGTATTCAGTGTACTGTATATATTCAGTGTACTGTATTTAGTGTACTGTATTTAGTGTACTGTATTCAGTGTGCTGTATTTAGTGTACTGTATTCAGTGTGCTGTATTTAGTGTACTGTATTCAGTGTACTGTATCTATTCATTCTAGCTGGGACACAGTTGTTACCATTTAAAGGTTTTTTTGGGAGCTTCACTTTAGTTACATGGACACCAGTGGAGTAATCATCTTCATTAATGTACAGTTTGCTTGCCACTAATATCCTCGATTACTGTTATATGACCCTGTGGATTTTGCGCTTTGTATGATTGTATGATATGTTAGAATTAAAAATAATCCTTTAAATAGGAAAAAAAATTGCTGTATAGTTTTTTTTCCGATATTTATTTTTCAAGTATACCAGTAAACTTTCAATAAAAACTTGCATTTTCACGGAAAGGTAGTTTTTTCTTAGATGGGTCGGGGAATTATTCATAAAGGTAATGTTTTTTGAATGTACCTTTGTAAGGTTAAATTAAATGGTTGTTTTGTATCTAGCATTGTTCGTTCGTCATTTTGCATAATTATATTTATATATATATTTATATATATATATATTATATATATAATATATATAATATCCTAGGTAAGGTAGTTGGTAGACAGCAACCGCCAGGGAGGTACTACCGTCCTGCCAAAGTGGTTGTAAAACGAACAAGCCTGTAATTGTTTTACAGATGGTAGGATTGCTGGTGTCTTTTTTCTGTCTCATAACATGCAAGATTTCAGGTACGTTTGGCTACTCTACTTACACTTAGGTCACAATACACATCATGTACAAGCATATGTATACACCACCCCTTGGGTTTTCTTATATTTTCTTCATAGCTCTTGTTTCGCTTGTTTATTTCCTCTTATTCCATGGGGAAGTGGAACAGAATTTTCCTCCGTAAGCTATGCGTGTGTTGTAAGAAGGCGACTAAAATGACAGGAGCAAGGGGGCTAGTAACCCCTTCTCCTGTATATATTACTAAATATGAAAGGAGAAACTTTTGTTTTTCCTTCTTGGGGCCAACCCTCCTCGGTGGGATACGGCTGGTGTGCTTGAAAAAAAAAAATGAAATTATATATATATATATATATATATATATATATATATATATATTTATATCATATATATATATATTATAATATTTATATATATATATTCTATACTATATATATATATATTATATATATTATATATATTATATATATTATAAGTCGTGCCAGCATAGGCAGAAACTTGCGATCTTGGCTTAAATAGCAACTTTCATCTTGCATATAGTTTAGTATGACAAGTGAAAATTTGTGTATGCAATAATTTCGTTCAAAATCATTTTTGAAACTTAAACGACATCAAAAAATATTTCATGTGTTTGTTTAGTTATTAAATTACTGTCAAAACAAATCTAAAATATATTAGTTAGGCTAGGCTAAAATAAATTGATCTTGCTAAATAAGGTTAGGTAAGTTTTCTAAGATTCTTTTGGCGCAAAATCAAAAAATTTTTACATTAAACTAATGAAAAAATATTTCTTTAAACGTATAAAAAGAAAATTTCAGAAAGGACATTAATTTTAAATGAGTTTTGCCTAATTGACCAGTTTTACATATTCGGCACTGACATATATATATATTATATATATATATATATATTTTAATATAAATATATATATATATATATATATATATATAATGTGTGTGTGTGTAGTGGAGAACAAGCCCCATGGGGATGAAAATCTTTAGCTCTAGATCTTTGGCATTCTCGTGCATCGTCAGGAGCTATGCAATGTTGCGAGAAATCAACAGATAGGAGGAGAAATTCTCTTAAGGCGAGGTAGAAGGGGCCAATGGCGGCCCATGACATTTAAACTGCTCTGTGTCATGGACCCAAGAACTTGGACCTATCTTGCCTTTCCTTGGATCGAACTTGAGTGCCTTCTGTTCCACCAGGCGCTATATGACCCCCTACGGTGGGGGATCCTTTCCAAGCCAAGCCAGACCCCCATGGAGGCTGTCGTAGTACTACCGTCCGAGTTCTTTAACAGACTGATTCTTGCAGTGTTGTATGACGCTTATGGGTGTAGCAATAATAATAATAATAATAGCAATACTAAATAATAATAATAATAATAATAATAATAATAATAATAATATGCATCTGCAAGATGATAGAGAGGATGTTGAAAGTTTGGTCTGGTACCTCCAGGAGGGTGTCACTAGACGTCTTCATACCTAAGCAGTCTTTTTCAGTTTGGAGAAAGATTCGGCGTAGTCCTCCTCATGTCTCTAGCATTGAGGGGCCGACTATTTCTATTGGACAATTTCCGAGAAGCCGGTCATTCAAGATTAATTTACACTGCTCTCGGGAATTCTTCCAGGAGAACAGGTTACTGCAGGACAGCTTATTATTGAACATTACATGCTTTATACTGGCTACTGATGGTGTGGTTGGTATTGTTCACGAAATAGTTAAGACCTCCATTTGTATGGAGGCCTTCCCAAGAAGGCCTGTCGCCGACTTCATGTGGCAGTGGACAATATTAGGTGGTATTCTTGAGATAATGCTTAAATGGGCCTTTGCGAGCACTAAATATCTTAAAAGGTGCTCTCAGATCGTACCTGAGCATCAGATCGGCGGTCGATGCACTGCTTGTAAGCGGCCTTACGTCTTTCCAGGCTGGCGCGTGGGTGTCATCTTTGTCTCGCGGCCTGCACTTTCCTTCTGTGCCTGTTGAATTATTTCCATACTTTTCCCTGTTAAGAGCCTCTGTGTAGAATATAGTGAACTCTCTCTTGATCTCTGTAATGAGGAAGGAGACAGTATAAACCTGGCAACCTGTCCTATGTCTTTGTGGTTGAAAGGAAACCCACTGCTAGTCGACAGCTCTCTCCGATTTTTAATATTCGAAGACAATCTTCTCTCATGGATCGGGTTTAGCGTTTAATTTGACTATTTTACTGTTACTCTCTTGGATTATGACCAAATGTGTGTGCGGTCAGGCAGGTTGTTAACATTCGCCCTCTGCCTTCCATGAATAGTGCCTGAGGTACGTCTTCGTAGGTGGTGGATGGGGAAGCTTAAGTGATCTATTCTAATTTTCCCGACCATGATTCTGTTCATGTTTTAAGGATCAAAGATCACTCAGAATAAGAATTGGGCTTACTTTTTGGTGAGTGCTGTTGAGAATTCGTATTATGTCAAATTACCAAGCGTTTAAAGGTGCACACAGTCCTCGCTGCTCTCCTGAGCTGGCACTTCCCAGTGCACTTTGTTGGCCCCGGCCCAGTAAGCTTCATGGCAGATCCAGTGGGCCCTACAGACGATTGTGATACGTTGCTGATTATGTGGCGTGGTTTGGTGCTGGCTGTAGAGCACATGTTAATTAACAGTTTACCGACGGCTTGGCTCTTTTTTTTTATTATTATTTAGTCGAGAATTTTGATAATTACCAGGGTACTTGAGGGACTAAGGGAAAATTTTAGCAGAATCTTTTAATGTTAACAATTTAATTACTTTTAAACTCCGCCGCATAAGACATTTGAGGACTCTGATATCAAGCTCTGGAAGCCAAAGGTTATTTTAAATTACTGGGATTTAATTTATTGTTTGTTTGTATTGGATACTTTTTATCTTCTTTGTTCTTGTGTGTGTGTTTATATGTAATTTTCCTTTTATCAAGAGTGCTGAGTTATTTCACAACTCAGTTTATTTCCTTCCTTCCAGATGCTCCTCTGATGTCAACTTTATCATCATGTTGTGCGGTAAGCATGTTATAGATACCGGTTTCTAGTTTGCATTCCAACTGCCTTGCGTTCCACATACCACTTCCTTGATGCTTAAGACTTCTGTTTCTTCCTTACTAAAATTGGCATCTATATAAGTTCAATTCAGATCTGATTTTTTTCCTTAGGTAGGATGCATGAGCTTTGAAAGTTTGTAGTTGATGTCAAGAGATATTATGAATTTATCATATGTAAAGGGATGGGTTCACTTTGTTCAGTAAAACTGGGAAGTTGGCAGCAATAGCCCAAACTCAATCTGAACCTTCCACTATGATATACCGGTGTTGAAAGTTTGTAGCCAATAAGAAGAGTCATTATTTGAATTTGCTGATACCACACACTACATAGTGTGACAAAAGCCATTCGTTTAAAACCCGCCGAGAGTGGTCATCCAACTTAGCCTTTAATGATTAAGACGCATGTGCATCAGTTGGGTATCTTTATTGTTGAAACGTTTTATTTATACAGTAGGCTTCTTCAGTCAAATACAGAGGCAGCAGGTGTAGTAGCGAAATGAAGATGTAAGCCGTCCATCAAACTTGGAAAAAAAGTATTTGAGGTTGTCAGTCCCTCAGCTTGGAGAGGAGTTCAGCTTCAGTGTTTATTTACCTGGAGAAGAGAGGAGTGTAGAGGAGAGAGAGAATTTTGGGATATATTAAGCGAGTGTTTAGGAAGTTTTGAACCAAGTATGAAAGTAATTGTGGAAGGGGACCTGACTGCTAAAGTAAGAGAAACGGTTATAGAGGGTATGATAGGTAAGCTTGGGGGTCGGGGGTAAATGATAATGGTGGACCTTTAATTGAACTATGTATTGAAAGAGGTTTGGTAATAGGTAACAAATATTTGAAGAAATAAAGGATAAATATGAGATATATAGGGCGTAATGAGAGGAGCTTATTGTATTGGTAGATAAAAGATTGATGGGTAGACTTCAGGATGTGCATGTTTATAAAGGTGCCACAGATATCAGATCACTTTTTAGTTGTAGCTACAGTGAGAGTAAAAAGGTAGATGGGGTACAAGGAGAATGGCATCAGCAAGTAAGAGGTGAAGGTTTATAAACCAAAGGAGGAGGCAGTTAGGGTAAGATATAAACAACTATTAAAAGACGAGGTTGAACAGATATGGAATAGATTTAAAAATGTAGTGTTAGAGTGTTCAGCAGAAGTGTGTGGTTACAGGAAAGTGGGTGCAGGAGGCAAGAAGAGCGATTGGTGGAATGATGAGGTAAAGAGGGTAGCAAGAGAGAAAAAGTTAGCAAAGAAATGATGTAAGGAAGAAGGAGTATATGGAAAGAAAAAGAGAAGTGAAGGAATATAAAAGGAGAGCAAATGAGAGAGTGGGTGAGGTGCTATTAATAAATTTTGCTGAGGATAAGAAAAAATTTTGGAGTGAGATTAATAAGTTGAGAAAGTCTAGGGAATGAATTAATTTAAATTTGAATGTTTTGAAATATGAGAGAGGAGTTACTAGTTGGAAAAGTTCGGAGTATTGGGGAAGATGGGAGGGAATATTTTGAGGAACTGTTAAATGTTGACGAAGACAGGGAAGCTGTGATTTCGTGCATTGGGCAGGGAGGTAAAAGATCTTTTAGGAGTGAGAAAGGGCCAGATGTGAGTGTGGGGAAGGTGCATGAGGCTATGAGTAGAATGAAAGGGGGTAAAGCAGCTGGAATTGATGGGATCAAGGCAGAAATAAAAGCAGGTGGAATGTTTGGTGCTTTTATTTAAGATGTGTGAAAGAGAGGAAGATACCTAGGGATTGGCAGAGAGCATGTATAGTTCCTTTGTATAAAGGCAGAGGGGACAGAAGAGAGTAAAAATTATAGGGGAATAAGCCTGTTGAGTATACCTGGTAAGGTGTACGGTAGAGTTATTATTAAAAGTGTGGAGAAATTTTCTCCAGGAGGGGGGATAGCCCCTTTCAGTCCTTTCAGCCCTGAGGGATGACCCTCTCAGAAAGGGCCATGGCATCTTGCTTGCTTCTGCATCAACACTTTAATTGGAAGCATATGACCAGCGTGTGTCATAGACACGCCACTTCCTTGCATCTAGGGTGGGTTAATGAGAGACAATATCTTACCTTAGCAGGACAATTAAGGAAAACCCTGCACCCACGTTGCTACCATGTTAAAGATAACATACACTGACGTCTGTGCCTAGACAACAAAAAATCAAGCATCCTGCATTGCTCCCTGTTGAAAATTTGGCAAGGAAGAGAAATATGCCCAGGGCAACCAGGGGGCGAGAGGCATCATAGGTCAGATTACTATAAATCACAGTATGAGAAACGTGTTATGCTTGCATTGACTTTAACAAAGGAACTATCACAATGCATACTCGACCACTAGACAATCTATCATCACAATAAAAATATTACAAAGTGTGCGCAGCTTCTTGTAACATTACAACGAAATACAGAGTTATTGAAGAACGTATAGTGACAGTGCGATTGTTACAAATTTCCAGACTGAGTGGAGGAAGTGTGACGTTTCTGAAAAGACTATTCTTCAATCAAGACTGCGGATATCCGGGTGAAAATTAAGGGTCCGATGCAAATACCCAGGTAAGTCTGCTTAAACATAGGGTGGTTCCATTGATTGCGCAACTGAGAACTAATGTATATTTTAAGCAGATTTCCCATACACCCCGGTGACTGGTGGGGTTTTGAGCCCAAACAAGTATGTAGGTAACTTCAGCACTCAGTTTCTGAGATATGCTGAAATATGCTCTTCAGGGGCAATTATTTGTATACTTACCCATATTTCTCAACAGCTACTGCGCTGCAAAACAGCTGTTACACGTTGAAGGAATATACTAGCTGCAGCTGCGGGTAGATTTTAACAGCGACAAAGCTAAGTGATGTGTTTCCAGTGTATTGCTTAGTTTATACTTGTGTTCTACAATAATTTCCAAGAGAAAGTATTAAGAGTAAGACAGAAAGAAGGATCACAGATGAACAGGGAGGCTTTAGGAAGGGCATGGGATGTGTAGACCAAATGTTTAGAGTGAAGCATAGATAAGGGTAAGAAGTTTTTGTTGCATTTATGGATTTGGAAAAGGCATAGGGGAGCAATGTAGATGTTGCAAGTGTTCGGAATAGGTAGTAGGTTGATGAAAGTTAAGACACATGTGCAACTTCTGGATATCTTTATTGTAGACGTTCTGCTATCTAGTGGCTTTATCAATACATATTCTAGGTCATATCTTGTTCGTATTGTATACCTTTCTTGCACAAGGTGGTAGGTTACTGAAAGCAGTTAAGAAGTTTTTACAGGGATAGTGAGGCCTCAAGTTAGAGTATGTAGGAGAGAGGGAGATTATTTCTCAATAAAAGTAGGCCTTAGGGATGTGTGATGTCAGCACGGTTGCTCAGTATATTTCTAGATGGGGTTGTAAGAGAAGTGAATCCTTGGGTGTTGGCAAGAGATAAGGAATCTGACACAAAGTAATAGTTGTCACATTTGTTTTTTGCTGATGACACTGTACTTTTGGGAGATTCTCAAGAGAAATTGCAGAGGATGGTGGATGAGTTTGGAATGGTATGTAAAAGAAGGAAATTAAAAGTGAACATAAGAAAGAACAAGGTGATGACAAAAAATTTAGGTAATGAAAGATTGGATATCAGATTGGAGGGAGAGAGTATGAGGAAGTGAATGTATTCAGATACCTGGGAGTGGACTTGTCAGCAGAAGGGTCTATAAAAGACGAGGTAAACATTGACATTGATCCTTTCCAGCTGCAGCTCCCTGACATGAGGAACATTCTCTCGTAGTGTACCCGCTGCTGTCAAGCCATGCTCGTCGCTGATGATCTCCCAGGACTGGAAGGTATTCCGGGGATCAGTGCCCCCGCGGCCCGGTCCACGACCAGGCCTCCCGGTGGATCAGGGCCTGATCAACCAGGCTGTTACTGCTAGCCGCACATAGTCCATCGTATGAACGACAGCCCGGCTAAGGTGAGTCATAGAATTGATGAGGGGAAAAAGGCGAGTGATGCACTGAGGAATCTGTGGAGATAATGTTATCCATGGTAGCAAAGGGGGAAATGCATGAGAGTACAGTGGTATCAATGTTCTTATATGGTTGTGAAGCATGGGTGGTGAATATTGCAACAAGAAAGCAGGAAGCAGTGGAGATGTAAATACTATGCAGAGAATCCATAGCTTAGGGATTTGGAGGTGCGGGGTTGCTAAAGGTATTATTATCCATAGGGCTGAAGGAGACATTTAGAAACGATGAAATGAAATAGAATGAGTTGGAGGGTGTATAAATCTAGTGAAAGGAAGGCAGGGTAGGGTTCGTCCTAAGAAAGGTTGCAGGGGGGGGGTTAAAGGTTTTGTGTGTGAGGGGCTTAGACTTCCAGCAAGCATGCGTGAACATCTTAGGAGTGGAGGCCAATGGGTCTTGACACTTGACATGCTGGTGGGGTGCGAGCAAAGTAACACTTATCAAGGTATTCGGGAAAACTGGTTAGCTGGACTTGAGTCCTGGAGGTGGGAAGTACAGTACCTGCACTCGAAAGGAGAGGGTGGAAATATGTTGCAGTTTTTTAACTGTAGTGTAGGCGCACCTCTGGCAACACAGTAATGGAGTGAATGATGAAAGTGTTTCTTCTTTTTCGGGTCACCCTGCCTCGGTGGAAAATGACTGATGTGTTTATATAGCAGTATTGAGTCCTGCTGACTGGGATCTTTCTCTGTATATACCCGCTTGTTTCTGCGCGGTGCATAGATATAAAAATCGCTTGAGAGATCAGAAACATACAGGAGGAGATTGAAATAGCTTAAAATTCATGCTTGAGGCTCACTGACGTGCCTGGGCTGGGAAAGAAACATGGCCAATGAACCAGGCTCCCCAACTTATGTGGCAGAGTGTATGAGAGTGCTGCCTGGGAATCTTGTCCATCCCAGTAGCAGTATCGAGTCCTGCTGACTGTGATTCTCTCTCTCTCTCATATATATATTATTTATATAATATACACACACACACTTAATATATATATATATATATATATATATATTTTTATATTTTATATATTATATATATATATATATATATATATGTTTATGCCGAATAGGCAAAAATTGGGATCTTGGCTTAAATAGCAACGCTTAACTTGCCATATAGGACAAGCGAAATTTGTGTACCTGGAGTTTACCTGGAGAGGAGTTTCGGGGGTCAACGCCCCCGGGCCCGGTCTGTGACCAGGCCTCCTGGTGGATCAGCGCCCCGTTTAACCAGGCTGTTGCTGTGGCTGGGACGCAAACCAACGTACGGCCACAGCCTGGCTGATCAGGAAAATGGGCTTTAGGTGCTTGTCCAGTGCCAGCTTGAAGACTGCCAGGGGTCTGTTGGTAATCCCCCTTATGTGTGCTGGGAGGCAGTTGAACAGTCTCGGGCCCCTGACACTTATTGTATGGTCTCTTAACGTGTAGTGACACCCCTGCTTTTGATTGGGGGGATGGTGCATCGTCTGCCAAGTCTTTTGCCTTCGTAGTGAGTGATTTTCGTGTGCAAGTTCGGTACTAGTCCCTCTAGGATTTTCCAGGTGTTATATAATCATGTATCTCTCCCTCCTGCGTTCAGGGAATACAGGTTTAGAAACCTCAAGCGCTCCCAGTAATTGAGGTGTTTTATCTCCGTTATGCGCGCGTGAAAGTTCTCTGTACATTTTTCTAGGTCGGCAATTTCACCTGCCTTGAAAGGTGCTGTTAGAGTGCAGCAATATTCCAGCCTAGATAGAACAAGTGACTGAAGAGTGTCATCATGGGCTTGGCCTCCCTAGTTTTGAAGGTTCTCATTATCCATCCTGTCATTTTTCTAGCAGGATGCGATTGATACAATGTTATGGTCCTTGAAGGTGAGATCCTCCGACATAATCACTCCCAGGTCTTTGACGTTGGTGTTTCGCTCTATTTTGTGGCCAGAATTTGTTTTGTACTCTGATGAAGATTTAATTTCCTCATGTTTACCATATCTGAGTAATTGAAATTTCTCATCGTTGAACTTCATATTGTTTTCTGCAGCCCACTGAAAGATTTGGTTGATGTCCGCCTGGAGCCTTGCAGTGTCTGCAATGGAAGACACTGTCATGCAGATTCGGGTGTCATCTGCAAAGGAAGACACGGTGCTGTGGCTGTGTATGCAATAATTTCGCCAAAATCATTCTGAACATAAAGAAAAAAATACATTTGATTGTGTTTGTTTAGTATTAAATTATTGTAAACGTATTTAAAATATATTTAGTTGGGTTAGGCTAAAATAAATTGCTCTTGTTATAATAAGGTTAGGTAAGTTTTCTAAGATTCTTTTGGTGCAAAATTAAAAATTTTTACATTAACATTAATGAAAAAAATATATCTTTAAACGTATAAGAGAAAATTTTAGAAATGACTTAATTTTAAATGAGTTCTTGCTAATTGGCCAGTTTTACATATTCGGTACGACATTATATTATATATATATATATATATATATATTATATATATATATATATATATATATATATATATATATATATATATATATATATATATATATTATACACATTATATATATTATATATATTATATACATCTATATATATATATATATTACATTATATGCAAGGAATTCGCAAGAGCAGGCGAAATATACACAAACACTGATCTCTGGCTGAAGGAGACTCGAACCTACGAACCTTGGAACAAGGTACGCAGTGCTTTACCAATCTACCCACACTGGACAATACCTTGGAGCCCAGCTTGTGCTAGACTTTGATCCAAGGCAGCTAGCTATTCAGGGAGAAAGCTGTAAGCCTTCTGGCGATTATTACAATGACAATGTTGTGGCCCATTTTAGGCAAATCTTAAAGGAACGGGAGGTACAGACCTCTATAGACAGATTTGTTGTGCGACAGAGGTCCAGTGACTCTCAAGCTGGTCCTAGTGGCATTAAAAGAAGAAGGGAAGTAACCCCGGAAAAGGACTTGATACCTCAAGTCCTAATGGAAGGGGATTCCCCTTTTAAAATTTAAAAACTTCCCACACTCCCCCCCTCCCCTCCCATCAATCACCACCAGTTTTCATAAAGGTAAGTGTCATTTTGTGTGTATTTAAAATTTAATATTTCATGTGGTAAAAAAAATTTTTTTTTTTAAAATTTTAGGGTCTTGCCCCTGTTTAAATTTTGTTTTCCTTTTTTGGGAAAGTTTTTTTAAATTTCGCTAACGATAATTTCAGCTACGATGGTTTTTCAGGAACGGTTTTAATATGTTTGGTGAGGGTCCACTGAAATAATAATATATATATTTTATATATATATTTTATTTTTTAAATATATATTTATATTATTTTATATAAATATTAAAATTTTTATATAAAAATTTTAATATTTATAATATATTTTATAATATTTTATATATATATTTAAATATTTATATATTATATAAAAATTTATATATATTTTTATTTTTTTATATTATATTATATATATTTTATATATATATTTATATTTTTTATATATATTTTTATATATATTTTATATATAAAATTTTTTATATATATTAAAATTTTATATAAATTTTTTTATATATATCTTTATATATATATTTATATATTTTTTATATATTATATATATTAAAATATATATATATTATATATATATTTATTATATAAAAAAAAAATTTTTTAATTTTTTTTTATATATATATATATTTTATATAATTTTTTTATATATTTATTTATATATTTTTTTTTTTTTTTTATTTTCCCCCGGGCGATTCCCCCCAAAGGGGCAGGGGGGGCCCCGGAAAAAAAAAACTTTCACCATCTTTCTCCATAAATTTTTTGCCAGAGGGGGTGCTTTACACCCATTTTTTAAAATTTTTGGCAAAAAATTAAATATATTTTTATTTTTTTTATATAATATATATAAAATATATATTTATATAAAATTTTTTATATATTTTATAATTTTTATATATATTATAATTTTATTTTTATATATTTAAAATATATAAGAAAAAAAATTTTATATATATTTTATTTATATATATATTTTATTTTAATATATTATAAAATATATATTTTTTATATTTTATATATTTTTTATTTTATATTTTTATATATATATATAAAATATATATAAAATTTTATATTTAAAATAATTATATATATATTTATTTATATTTTTATATATAATTTATATTAATATATTTTAAAATATTTATTTTATATATATATATATATATATATATATTATATTTTAATATATATATTTAATTATATATATTTTTTTATATATTATATTATATTTATATATTTTATTAAAATTTATTTTTATATTTTATATAAAATTTATTATAATATTTATAATATTTATATAATTATATTTTTTATAAAATATTTTTTATATTTATTTTTATATATATATATTTTATTTTATATTATATATATATTTTATTTTATATATTTTTATATATATAATCTATTAAAATTATATATTATTTTATTTTATTTTTTATTTATTTTTTATTTTTTTTAAAATTTTATATATTTTTTATTTATATTTATATAATATTTTATATAAAATTATTTTTAAAATATTTTTTTAAATTTATATAAAAAAAAATTTTTAAATTTTAATTAAAACAGGGGACCCCCGCATAGCGAAACCCCTTTTCCCATAGCGAACCCCGCATAGCAAAAGCTTTTTTCGCTGAAATTTTGCCCCCCCCTTTAGTAGAAAAAAACCCCGCCCCAGTGAACTTCTTTCCGAGACGCGCCCTTGGGGGGCCCTTCAGCCACCCTCCATGGGGCCGCCCCCCGCCCAAATTGTTTCCCCAGTAGCCCTCCGCTGGTAACATTCAACCCAATACACTCGGAATATTTCGTATTATTACGTGTTTTGGGTTTTGGCTGTTTCTGGAAAATTAAATGAATTGGGGCCCCCCGAAAGCTTCTAGTGCCCAACCCCGTGGGAAAAAAAGGGTGAAATTAGTATGGAAAATTTAAAAAAGATTTTGAAGGGTTTGGGGGGCTAACCCTAGAAACCTATGCGTTGTGGGGAAACCCTTTTGCCCAATTCAAAAATTTTAAAGGGAAAAGTGTGCACCTTTGGGGTTTAACTGCAAACCTTTATGGATGAAATCACCCTGACAAAAGCTGTTGCAAAACCGTGTGGTGCTATTTTTAATGAAAAATGTTTTGGGGCCCCCTTTTTTGGAAAGTCTTGAAGGAAAAGGGAGGGGTTAGAGGGTCTTTTTAAAAGATTTGTTGTTTCGACAGGGTCCAGTGATCCAAAATGGGTCCCAGTGGCATTAAAAGAAAAAGGGAAAATAAACCCCGAAAGGACTTGCTACCCCCAAAATCCTAATGGAAAGGGGGGGTTTTCCCCTTTTAAAAAGTAAGAAGATAATGCTCTCCCCCCCTCCCATCCCTTTAATCATCACCCGGCTTAATAAAAATAAAATGTCATGTAAATTTTGCATGCCTTTTTTTAGTTTGTGTGTACTAAAAATTTAAAAATTTTTTTGGTAAAAAAATTTTTTTTTTTAACTTTTTGGGGGGCCCTTTCACGGATTTAAATTTTTTTTCCATTATTTCTTATGGGGAAAATTTTAAATTGCATAGCGAAAAATTTTTGCTAACGACCCCCCTCTTGCCGGATTTAAATTCGTATTTCGGGGGTCCCCTGTTTATATTTAAAATATATATAATTTTATATATTTTTATAATTTTTATTTTATTTTAATAAAATTTTTTATTATATTTATATATATATTTTTATTAAATTTTTTAATTTTTTTTTATTTTTTTATAATATATATATTTTATATTTTATATTTTATTTTATATTAAAATTTTTTTATTTTTTATATTATATTATATATATATAATATATTTATATATATATTATTTTATATATATATTTTTA